GCTGGGCGAAGTCGCTATCAACAAACTGCGCGTTGATCCCAAGGAATGACACGTAGGATTTCGACGTCCAGCCGTCGAAGGAAAAATGTATTTGGGATCGAGCATTCCGCAATACCTCGGTCACTGGTCCAATGGCCCCTCTATACTCAGATTCGAGCATACGAAAAAGAGTCTTCGCAGAGGGGATATGGGTTTTGTCGAGCAATGGGTTGCCGTAAAGGAGGATGCGCTGGAACCGCTCAGTATTCACAATCTCAAACGGTAAGTTGTAATATGTAATCCAGTCGAGAAGCAGAACCCGAAGACCCTTAATATTGAATTGTCCGCGCAGGTTACTGATGAGAAACTGATCATTCGGATTACTGAAATCGGCATGGAGGAAGCGCGTGATAGTCCGGTTTTGCAATAATGAGTCCCCCGCGCAATGATCAGCTCCCCCGCAATTATCAGCTTCCTTGGGAGACTGTTCATGTCAGCGCGGTTCATTGCCGTCACACCGTGGACCATGGTACATACAAAAATGCCGTGGATTGTGCGAAGGTGTTTCTTGATACAGGCCCCTGTGGAGCAGACGAAGCAGAAATCCGACTTCTTCTTAAAGCCTCGGGCGAAGCAATCTGCGCAGATCCACTTCAGCTTATTGCCAGGCCGTGAGGTAGAGCGGTCTTCAACTCGATACCCATATTGCTGCCACCATGCCCTCGTGTCTTGGCCGGCCAGTATAGCGTTCAAATCCGGGCCATTTTGCCCACTCCTGGCGACCCCAGAGTGACCAATTGACTGCGATAAAGTCGACGGCAGTACCACGAGGACGCGGTGATGGTGTTGTTGGTAAGGAGACTCCCGAAGATGAGACGGCAGGCGAAGAGGAGTGCTCCTCACATGGCGGCGACTCGTCAAGTTGGCTCAATGGCGAAGGATTGAAAGAAGAAGGCCCCGAGAACATCGTGGTTCAGGTGATTAGTCGTGTAGATCGGTCATAAGGTAAGGATTTTGCCGAGCTTTTTTGGAAGCCATGTCAGCTGCGGCTGCTGCTGCGCTGGCAATGGGCTTAAATCAGTCCGTCGCCTGATGGGCACGGGTAGGTAACGAGACGCGATATTCGCGCACATCATGGTGCAGTCAACGCAACGTACGCGTGAATTACCAGTGTCGTTGGAGTTGATACATCCTGGACCCAACGAGCAGTAGCCGGCGGTCAGTTGATTGCTGGCTGGCGCGTTCAGTTGACGCGGGTGAAGATGACGAGTAAAGAAGCATTGTACTCCAGTCCCGGTCATTGGTACAGGAAGCACCGTTGCCCCCAAGACTGCTGGCGTGCAGCAAGCCACGTTCCATATATTCCTTGTCTCATCTCGCGGCAAGTGCCCCTATTGGGCAGGCGCCACTCTCTGCAGTTTCATCTCCACGTGGACTTTTGAGGGACTCTTGAGCCCGTTTGTTATCTAACGCCAGTGAGATGGAAAAGAGACATTTGGGACTCCAAAATCTGGCATCATGACAATGCAGCAATGGGATGAGGTCGCTAACACTTTGAGTTGTAGGTGAAGCGGGTTTGGTTCTTGGTACCAGTGACAAATGATGAAGAGAAGCCGAAAACCTATGTAGGTAACCTTCAAATCAAAGCGATGCAAGCCCTCATGCCAAATCAGCTCGGACAACGGCTCCCTAGAGAGAACTAGATAGCTAGGGCAACATAATACGTGACGTACATTGGCTTGCAATCATTTGATACTGCTATGATTGCCCGGCATGCTGGAAATTGTCGCGTCGCAGTGAGCCTACCCTATACTTGGGCGGTAGGGGATGTTAGAGGCTACCCGACAATCCCCCCTCCTCTACATGGTGGCCCTGGTATTTCATAACATCAAATGTATCCATAGGCCCTCAACGTGCCCCGGTCACGGCCCGTGTATCGTTACGGGGTATAAACAGTATTGCCACCAATACTGATACGGGGTCTAATTTGGGCCTATCGTTGTAACTGTCCGAGCTGAGTATATTGGCAGATAGTTAGGCAATTAGGATAAGTTTGGTATAAAGAAAAGGATATGCTGGTGAGTAGAGCTCTGTAGACCGTTGTTAGGGACCCCACTTAGGCTGGGCGCCTGCGCTGAAGGTGAGAGTGGACACTGAGCCCGTTACAGATAAATTCTACGTTCTGATGCTTACATTTTACAACGAACTACATGTACTTACTACCTTCATATACAATGACGTCCAACGCCTCAGTGGTTCCGGAGGTATAACACGGTTCCTGTCGCGCTCTGCCGCGTCTTTACGCGACACCGCGTTTAAATTGGGATTACGCATCATATACGGATAAAACATACAGCCTATGCGCCCCCAGATCGATCGACTCGATCGAACCAATCGAGAGCTGAGGAGCCACGCCATTCGATGCGAATGGAGCGCACAAGTGGTAGATTCGTTGCGAACCGAATGAGTCCGTGACAGACTCGACATCGAATCGAACGCTTGGCATTCGATACGATGGTCGTAAGACTTGGCATCGAATGAATCTATCGACTCGCTTCCCGTTCGTAAGATGTCCATCCCTGGTTGGAGATCGATAATAAGCAGACGATTAG